TCACGTGTGTGTGTGTGTGTGTGTGTGTGTGTGTGTGTGTGTGTGTGTGTGTGTGTGTGTGTGGTGTGTGTGTGTGTGTGTGTGTGTGTGGTGTGTGTGTGTGTGTGTGTGGGTGTGGGTGGGTGGGGGTGTGTGTGTGTGTGTGTGTGTGTGTGTGTGTGTGTGTGTGTGTGTGTGTGTGTGTGGTGTGTGTGTGTGTGTGTGTGTGTGTGTGGAAAAGGAACAGACATGAAGGCAGAGCGACACAGAGACAGACTGAGAGAGAGACACATCATGCAGGGAGGAGCAGGTAGACATCATCCCTCGGGTTTACACCATCATATTTGTAGTTTTGGGTTCTTTGGTTCTTACACATGTGTCCATGTGTCTGCACCAAGTTGCCAAGCATTCCAGTCTGTTCTGCCTTGTTCTTTAAAGAGGACATATCAATCTCTTTTTCAGGTTCATATCAGTACGTAGTGCCTCTACTGTGACGTGCCTCCGTGCTTTAATGTTCAAAAAGCTCTTTATTGTTCTCATACTGCCTGTGCTGCAGCACCTCTTTTCACCCTCTGTCTGAAACCAGAGCCCAGTCTGCTCTGATTGGTTAGCTGGCCGGCTCTGTTGTGATTGGTCAACAGTTTAGAGATGTCCAGCCCCTTAGCCTATCATGTACACTGTGGTGGAGCGCTAGCCAAAAGAAGCGTGAGTGATATGACTATGTTCTGGAAGTTGACAAAGTAGTCCAATGGAGGCATTTCAAGTGGGGAGGGGGGGACTTTAGCCTCTGCAGACCATGTTACATGCACAAAACCCTATAGAACACACTACAGGACAGGGGAAACACCCAATAACAAACTAGGGCCTCTTTAAAGGATGAGTTAGATAAGAGTGTGCTGGAGAGTCAACACACACATTTAAATACAAACACCTGCCAGACCGAGGTGTCCTATAGCATAGCCATACATCCTGCCAGGCTCCAGGTCAATGCTCTGCAGCTGTGACTGACCTTTGTCCTTTGGAAACAGATAGACCCTTGTTTGTGTGTCGAATGATAGAAAGCAGCTCAGGTTGGCAGCTGTGGACATATATCAGCGCTCCTCAGACTGCAGAGATTGTGGAAACATTTGGATTGTGACTGAGCACATTTAGTCAAATACAAATGTGAGCTACTTGAGAATGTACATGTTATGCTGCTTGCTGATATTAATGCAGAACTTTGGGAATGTACTTTCAGCTATGAGAACATTTATTTGACAGCAAATGTTAGTTAAGATAAATAACGGATCTTGTGAAATAATTCATATAAAATATTGTATTAACTGCCCTAAAGTACGTAAAAACAATAAATACTAGCTTTACCATGACTGGAAAACAGTAAAATGCCACGTACACAGTCTATTAATATCATATTTTTTTAATGAAATATGCATTCTTTTTTAAATGTGTGACAATTTATGTATTCGTGTGACATTTTAACACTTGACTTCCAAATTCATATTCTGTTTGTGTTGCAGTTTAACAGCTAAAGATCAGAATAAGCGTGTATCAATCCGCCCTGTCTCCTCTGCTGTTCTTTTGTTTTTGACTAGAGGATGATCCATTTTCAATGGCAGTCATTTCTAAAAATTGACATTTAGCATTTTGGCTGGAGCAGCTTCCAGGGGACCGGCTCAGAGCCCCCCAGCCCTGCAGCTGCTCAGTCCTGCTGGAGCGTCTCTCTCAGTTGCTCCCTGTTGCAGGGCTATTGCACATGTCCTCTGGGGACTCGTCCTCCCTCGCTCCCTCTGTTTCTGCCTGGTTCTCCTTTCTCTCTGTATCCATTACTTGGACACTCCCTTTCTCTTTCTCCCTCTGTGTTCTCCCTCCTACTGCTTTCTCTCTTTATCTCGCTCCATCCAACTTTTGTCCCCATGTCCTCACCCCCTCCCTGTCACAGTTGATCTCTCCTTTCATTGGCTCTGTGGCTGAGCTGCGCCCCCTTGTGTCTCAACAGGCACATCACACCTTCCCAGTATAACCAGCAGCTGTCCCAGAGTGGGGAGGGATATCCAGTCCTAGAATAACATGTTGGGCTGCTCCTCTTCAGCTCCCAGATTACATCAGTAGGGTTTCAAAAGCTCCGTCTCAAGAGGAGAAGCATATATATTTCAGATGCTTCAACCAAAATACAGATGTGATGGATGTGTACACAGAATAAATGCATCAGAATCAGGCTTATTGCTGTGTCTCAGCACCTAGTGGTGGAAGGTAACTAAGTACATTTACTCTACTAATGTACTCTAGTACAACTTGAGGTACTTCACTTCTTTTTCATGCTACTTTACACATTTATGCGATTTTTGTATTTGCTACATTTGTTTTATAGATTGTTGTTACTAGCTATTTGCAGATATAGATTAATAATACAGAATAAAAAGTAAAATAATACATCATTACAAATAATTGTATACAATAATGATTTCATATTTAAATCTGAAAGGTCATACGGCATAAAGAGTTATTTTTGTACTAAAAGTATATTTTGATGTCAATACTTAAATACTTGAGTACGACTTTGATTGCAGTACTTTTACTTATAACAGTGTTTTTAGAAATGAGTAATGGTACCTCCACTACCGTTACTGTAATATAAAGACTGTGTGTTGAGTAACACTAGAGGGCGCTGTTCTGTCAGACTGATGCTGGGTCTGTCATTATCATGAGTCACTGCTGTGTCCCAGCCTTTCATTAAGCACAACAAGTAGAGGTAAACAGGTAAACAACAATACAAATAGCTGTAAACAAAGACTTCTGAGTGAAATAAGAGCTGGGAGTGTTTGATCACATGATCCCCAACATCTGTAGACTTCATGAGATGTACAAACTCATTTTAGTCCCTTAATGATGGTCCTATAGTGCTCGGATTCGGAAGTAAAACAAATAAAGAATATGCCATCATCAGTTAAATGTATTCATTCAAAATTCTACTAAAGTACAGAAGAGTTGGGAGTGAGAATGTGTTGTTTTAACGCATCAAAGTCAAATCACTCGTTATGCAAAAATAATGGCCCCTGATTGTGATTTGTTATTATTATATACATATGACATTATTACATTTTAACTGATGCACAATTGATTAAGTACTATTTTACTGCTGTAGCTGCTTGAGACAGAACTATTTTGTATGCCTTACTTCCTATATTTGCAGTGTTTGGTAGTGAAGTCCAGTGGAGCCAAACCTGAGGGTCAGGCCCCTCTAAGGGTCACAACATGAAATAATGAATGATTTAGAAAAAGAGGGAAACATACATTTATTTACGTGAATTTTGGAACTTTTACCTAACCTTTGATGTTGAAGGTTGGATGTTGTATATTTTAACTTCTTTGGGACTCAATCAGTTATTTAAATGAAACCGTTTTAGAGTGTAAATACACTGTTACTGTCACAACTTTTCAGATAACTTTAAGGGAATATATTGTATTAAGAAGCATAGGATGGAAACACTTGAGCTCTAACAGTTTTGTGAGTTCATGTTGAAATAAATAAATGTATGTATCTCACCAGATGAGGGCGCTGTTCTCATGGTATAGTCAGCATGTAACAGAAAGGCTTGTTATAAAGTGCATAATCTTGTAAACTGCAGATGACAAGTGGAAAAACAGGAAGCAAGCAGAAAGGAAACCATTTATTCAGCCTCAGGGTGACTCAGGGTCTGTCGGACCAGTTTACCTGGTGTTGCATATTATAATATATTATAATCAATTTCCTGTTTCCTAAAAAAGTTTTATCATCTCATTGTTTATTCCCTCGCTCAACCTGACTTTGACCCAAAACCCGCCCACTGCAGAATGTCAATCAGACGTTTATTGAAGGCAGCCAGTTAGATCATTGTATGTGTGTGTGTGTGTGTGTGTGTGTGTGTGTGTGTGTGTGTGTGTGTGTGTGTGTGTGTGTGTGTGTGTGTGTGTGTGTGTGCCCCCGGGAGATGAAAGCAGCGCCTATCTATTATAATGCAGAAGCAAGGGACATCCGATTCTCTGCAGAAACACCCAAAAGAAATTCAGCACATTTCCAAATATTATAATGTTGACATATCTTAGATCTCTATCTCATTTACGAATGTCCGGTATGGATCAAGCCACATGTGATGTTGCATTAGTGTGTATCAGACAGCAGCACACCTTAAACACTGTTTCAGGATTATGGAACTTGATGACTTTTTTATTAGTCAACCTAAAACATTCCTTAAACTAATAGCTCTCCGTTTTTTATGAATGTTTTCAAACCGGCATTTTCTTCAGGCTTAGGACCCCCCAGACCTCCTCAGATCACAGACCCCCCCAGGTCCCAGGCGTGCGTGCGTGCGTGCGTGTGTGTGTTCGTGCGTATATTGTGTGTGTATGTGAGAGAGGCGGGGTTATGGTGTGTTATGGTCTTTTTTTTTTTTTTTCGCAGACCAGAGAGGGGATTAGACGATTTTTGAAGTACTCACCTTTTATTCAAACAAATTATTCACTTCAGCTGATGGAAGGAATTTGAGCACGTGAACTTTTTGTGAGGTCGGTTTTGTAAAGAGTTCAAATCCAATCGCTCATTATGTTTCTACCCTATCCTACTTTACACCTTCTGCTGGTCCTATTTTACCCAAATGAGTGATGCATGGGTATTATAATACACAAGTTTAACTTCTTAATTAAAGGAGCGGATGATCCATGGACATTAAACTGATCCCCGGTCAGACAGAAATCATAAAGGCCTTGTCTAGTGTTTCGGCTGAAGTCATGAGGAAGAGCTTGCCCCAAAAAACACAATTGATTTAGCTCTTTAATCTTATTTAAAACCTCTGAATGCAACATCACAGGTGTTTCCAGTCTCTGCTTCCATTGTTGACTGTGTCCAATACCCATTTGGTGGTTCGCCGCTCACACAAATGCACCCCGATGCGCGCGCAATGTATAACCAGGGAGGGAGAGGGGGGGGGGGTTAGGTTGAAGTGGGGGTGAAGTGGGGGTGAGAAGAGGAGGAGTGTAGAGAGAGAGCGAGAGAGAGAGAGATGTGGAGTGGTGGTGGTGAGGGGACAGGAAGGGAAATGAACAGTCGCTTTGCTGCTCAATTAGCGTTTTAATCTCCTTCTTAATCTTTCCTCAAGACAACAAGAGGATCACGCTTTTCACATTGTAGCTTTGTGTATTTATCTCCAAATACGTGAGAGGAAATACACTTCTCACACTTTGCGTAAAACCTAAATGATACCAAAACCATTTTACGCACGCCTTTGGATTGGAGACACTGGATTTTAAACAAGCAGACCCTGGCCTTTTGGGGAAATGCTGCTGTAATTTCAGACCGACTTTCATCCCTGAGGATTACAAATCTGCCCTTTTTAAATTAGTTTTAGCCAGCCCCTTTCAGGTTGTTTTGTTATAGTTCTAAACACTACATCGGGAGGAAAGGTGCAAACCAGTGGACTGTCCTCGCAGCGCCACACGCTGTCCCGAGCAGGACGGACCCCTCCTGACTGTCTGCCCATGTCTCAACAGCAGAACTCTTTCCCCCGCAGCGGCTGTGTGGCGGTGACGCGGCGGACCATGGACACCAGACCGGTCCGGAGGAGGCGCACCGGCGCCCTGCGGCATCTGCTTCTGGCAGCCGCCTTCCTGGCGTGCAGCTCCCAACTGCTGGTGGTGGATGCCAACTCATGGTGGTGAGTTACTGAAAGATAAATACATTGTTATGTTTGAGCACTGATGACCTATGACATCCATTTAGAAGTAGTCGAACTTTGACAGATTTTTAGAACATGTTTTTTTGTTGTTGAATATGTTATAGCCCTTAATTTGTTTAAGAAGGAGAAGAGGAACCTTCCCCAAGGGGAATTTCAGGTGTTCACCATATTCATTACACACAGTATACAACATACACATGCAGGACAGGACCTAAACACAGTGGGTCTGAATACATTTACATAGACACATATACAACACATCCCTTGTTGTGATATACAGAGGGATGTCTGTTTTGTTATGCCCAAATGACACAAGCTTCAGTTAAAAAATGTTTTCTCCTCAATCTTTTTCTCTTGGATGCCGTTGATAAGAAGACAAATGGCCAAGAAATGTGAACTATAGACTTTTTGTTTTCTCTTGTGTCTGTGTGTGTATTTTGGGGGTGATGCCCAGTCCTGTAGAGCCCTATGGAACAAATGTGAGGGCTCTGTCACAATATTTACCCTGCTGAGCCCCAAATGGCCCGCATGGCGGCCTGCTGCTGCTGCTGCTGTGCTGCAGGAGCCTCAATTAGCCACACTTGTTCTTGACTTACAGGGCAACTCTGCAACTATGCTGTTGGCTTTGTGGTAATGTTGAGGAGGGGGTGTGCAGGTTAGAGCAGGATTGGGTTCACCTTCCTGTCAGTTTATGTAGAATCAGAATAGCCTTTCAATGGGAGGGTCACGAGTCATGAGGGACAAATTGTGACTTGGTTTTAAACCAAAATGATTCAAAATGTATGATTAGGCTGCAACTGTTTGGGTGAAATGGACAGGAAAGGAGAAAGGAGGGGAGTGTCTGCAGAGATGAACACCAGCAGTCTATTTATCTTCCCTTTATAGGCCAGTCATACTAATAAACTTGTGTCTGAACTTTGTCCTCTGCAGCGCCGACCTCCTTCCAGGGAGAGTCGTACATCACAGAGATCCTGTCTCTGCCACTTATCTCTGATGGTAACAGATAGAGTTTATTGGTTCAATGTTAGACTCATATGGCCCTCTGTCTCTCAGGTCACTAGCTCTGACCCCCATCCAGCGGCCCGAGATGTACATCATCGGAGCGCAGCCTCTGTGCAGCCAGCTGTCCGGTCTCTCCCAGGTACATTTGTTGCAAACCTACCTTCAAGAGCTCAGTTTCTGGCTGTACAACATCAACTTCAACACAGACTAACCCCTGATCTGAGTCCTAAGAATATCCTCACAGGGACCGCTGAAGCATGGAACCATTAACTAATCTCTGCTAATCTGCAGGGCCAGAGGAAGCTGTGCCAGCTGTACCAGGACCACATGGTCCACATCGGAGACGGAGCCAAGACCGGCATCAAGGAGTGCCAGTTCCAGTTCAGACAGAGGAGGTGGAACTGCAGCACGGTGGACAACACGTCGGTGTTCGGACGCGTCATGCAGATCGGTGAGTCCGATCAGCATAAGGAGAACTGATTGTTGTTGTCTAATGTCTTTAAATACCTCTCAGTCAAATCTAAGAGTGATGACACATTTAATTCTGTGTTTTGTTTTATTTCTGCCTCCATATGTATGATTGTGCATTATAACGTCAGATAAGCAATTAGAAAAAGACGTGATTTCCTCAAGCATGTAAAATCCCAGATGTTACATCCAGCATCAGGACAGCAGGAACTGAACCAGCTGTGTTGTGTCTTTGAAAGATAAAATAATCTGTACAAATTAAACTTGACAACAACTGCTTTATACTGAAAACCAACAGAGTTCATTTCTTTCTTAAATATTTAGTTTAGGCTTTTTCTTTCTTAGATGCAAGGCAGTACGTAATGCAGCAGTTTATTGTTTCACCCTGATTTAACTGTTATTATGATTCAAACACAACAGGAGTTTGGACAGGTCATGCCGGTCAGGATGTTAAATGTCTGACAGAACACAGGAGGTTATCTGAGGTCGCTCAAGTAACAGTCTGAAATAATATTAGACTGCATGTCACTGTTTGGTCAGGAATATGAGCTAAACAGTAGCCTCACATTGAAACAAGCTAGTGGAGCCTCGCCACACTAATTGCGCCGCATAAGCGCATAGGTGCGCCGTATTTGCGACTCAGTTGAGGCTCCCTCCGCAAGATGAGGCCCCCTCCGCGAGGTGAGCCCCACGCAGTCTGCGTGATCTGCCTGTAGGAAGGGGCGGCCCTGCGCACGCGCAACAATAACTTCCTCAGTCCAGTTAAAGCGGGCACGCGGACAGAGGCACATACACTGCACAATTAAGAGCGCAAAGCCCGTGTAGTGTCCACGCAGAGGTTCAGTAAACACGCAGCAGCAGATCAGACCCTGGGATCAGTCTCATGTGCGTCTAATTCCCAGCAGGCGATGTGGGAAAGCTCTCATCAACATGTAGGTGTGAGATCCGCTGCGGGAGTCCGCGAGGTGTCCGGCCTCAGACTCTCTGCTGTTGGCCGGGCTCTCTATTGACAGTCCGTCTATCTCCAGCTTTATGTGGAGGTGTGAGGCGGCCCATTGTCCCGCGGCTGCTCTTTTGAAATGCGCTGATGAGCTGACACCGAGCCGGCAGATCCGGACCCGCTATTTGAAGTCTGGGCCCCGCAGCCCATAAACCCTCCGCCGCTCCTGACTCTTTATCCGCTGCATAATGTGAGAGGGACCTGAGATGGACCCTCTGCTCCTAAAAGCTGAATGGAAGCTCTGCATGCATACCTGCCTGTCTGTCTGCCTGGTGTTTATTCCAGGCTACAGGCATCCCATCATATATCAACGAGCGATACTAGAGGCTGCAAATAACACAGGAAAAGCAACAACATGGAAAAAGAACTCAGATTGTATACTTAAGTAAAAGCAGCAATAATACATTAGACGTGCTCTGTTTCAAGTATACGTGTTGCATTTAAATGTTACTTAAGTAAAAGTACAAACGTTTAGGTATCAAAATATACTGAAAGTAGCCTACCAAAAGTAGAAGAAATGGCCCATTTCAGAATGATATATAATGAATTACTTATTACTTGTGATTGTTGATGCATTAATGTGTTCATAGCAGCTGGTGAATGTGAAACCTTTAATTACTTTATATATAGTGCTGCTGGATATCATGACATATGATATCATTATGTTTCATAGTTTATTTGTTAGTTTATATATATTCATTGTTAGCTAATAATCTAAAGTAACTAAAGCGGTCAACATTAAATACTCAAGTAAATACAAGCACCTAAGAATGTCAATAGAGTATTAGAGCAATTGTACTTTTTTTTACTACACTACTTTATCCCAATAGTGTTTCAGTTGGAATATTATAATTATAGAAGATAATTGCATACCAAAATAGTATATATCTAACTATAAATTCAAGCGCAACATGACTGAGACAGTATAACAGGCTTAAATAATTAAAATAATCTTTTTTACAATGATTATTTGTTTATTTGAAAGGGACAGAGCACATTAGTGGGGAAACAACTATGCGAGCCAGAAATAGCATTAACAGATATTTGCTAATTTTGAAAACAACATCATTATAATCTTATTGAGGTAAACACACCAATACAAATGTGCAATAACAAGAATTTTGAAACATTACAAAACAAACACAGGTTAGTTTTCAAAATGATCTGGTTTCTGTAGCAACACAAGTTGTGACTGTGTTATACAGAGAAATGCCCCCCTATAATATCCAGTAAAACCTCTCTGTGGTCTCTGAGGCTCTCTGTCAGCCCTGACTGGTCTTTGTGTGTTGGAAGGGTTTGTGTATTAATGCAGAGAATAGACATGCAGGGTGTGTATTCCACAGTGTGAGCGGGCGGGCAGAAAACATTAATACTGAAGTGTACTGAGCCAACATCAAAGAGTAACAGCAGAGAGATGTTCCTTTGTTTGTTTAAAACAGATTTAGTCGGGAACCATCTTTGTGTTTCGATGTTAATGATGTATTTACCTGCAGGTCTTTGCAGTGCAGTACATCAGAGTTAGAGCTTCTGATGTATCCAGGATCCTCTTAAAGGGTCATTTCTCTTTTAGGGGACAATTCCTTTCCTCTAGTGTCGCCCATGCAGATAGTTGATTCATTTGTACAGGGTTTGAAATGTCCGTCTGCCTTAACCCTTATACAATGTAGACTACCTTTACTGTGGGTGCTTTCTGGATTGAAGAATAACTGTTAGCTGCAACAATCCTTCCCGAAAATGTTTACTTTTGACTTTTACTTGTCCGCAAATTCACATGCAACAGTATTTATAGAGACTGTTTATTAGATAGAAAATAGTGGCCAATGTTAACTGCTTACACAGAGTGACAGGGACATTGTTTCTGGAAAGACATGTTGCTAAATATTAAAACAAAACAATCCTTTGCCGTGAGTGCCACAAATATAATCCAGAAATGAGCAAGACACATAAAAGCCAAAGTATTGGAGAGCCAGATGCCACCACTAGAAGCGAGGGAGACAATATTGTTGGTCATCTGTGCTATCCTTTATCCTTTATCCTTTATCCTTAGCAAACCAGGCAGGTATATGTTTACCTGATCAGATGCTCTCATGTATTTTGGATCACTGGGCTGCTGCTGTTTGAAGTGGTTGAGTTTAACCAGGTACACAGTGAGGGCCTGAAATCACTTCTATTGTCTATTGTGAGGTGGAGTGGGGTGTGGGGCTGTTTGCTGTGTGTTGTGGGGTGGTGGGGCGGGGGGGTAACCTGAGCAGTTACCCATGATTCCTGTCAGTGAACACGACATTCACTACAGCCAAAACAGCAATAAACATGATGAGCACTTACCTAATCTCAGAGGTGGGAGAAGTACTCAGATCTTGTACTTGAGTAAAAGTAGAAGTACCAGAGTGTAAGAATACTCTGTTACAAGTAAAAGTCCTGCATTCAAAATGTGACTTAAAGTAAAAGTGCAAAAGTATTGGCATTAAAATATACTTAAAGTACCGAAAGTAAAAGTACTCATTATGCAGATTGGTCCATTTCAGAATAATATATATGATAAGTTTGGATTCAAATTAATTTGATATAAATGTGTTTATCTAAGCTGTTCAAGGTGAAACAAACGCAGCAGGGTAGCTTGTGAATTTACTCCAGGTGTAACTAAAGTCTGATTTAAGAGTTGATTATATTTCACATCATTAATCCAAATCTGTAGAGTAACTAAAGGTATTAAATACATGTAGTGGAGCAGAAGTACAAAGTAGCAAAACATGTAAATACTGTAAATGTAAAGTATCTAAAAATTGTACTTAGGTACAGTACTTTAGTAAATGTACTAAGTTACTTTATTTACCTTATTGGTTCAGTATCAGTGTATATCTTAGAGTAATCTAATGACCCCCCCCCCCTCCCTCCCTCAGGCTCCAGGGAGACAGCCTTCACGTACGCCATCAGTGCGGCGGGCGTGGTGAACGCGGTCAGCCGGGCGTGCCGGGAGGGCGAGCTCTCCACCTGTGGCTGCAGCCGCTCGGCCCGCCCCCGCGACCTGCCGCGTGATTGGCTCTGGGGAGGCTGCGGCGACAACGTGCATTATGGGTACCGATTCGCCCGGGAGTTCGTGGACGCCAGGGAGCGAGAGAAGAACTACCCTCGGGGGTCCCTGGAGCACGCCCGCACCCTGATGAACCTGCAGAACAACGAGGCAGGCAGACAGGTACCAGACACTACTTCAGTTTTTGTCTTTAAAAAATTGAAATGATACTTTTTGATGACTGGAGGAAAACTTTGTCGAAGGAAGTGAGTGACTCTACGCTTCTGAACTCATCCTATATCATCTCTGCAATAAAGAATGTGTGTGTGAATTAAGGTTGTTGCCTGCCCTGGCAGAATGTGTGTGTGTGTGTGTGTGTGTGTGTGTGTGTGTGTGTGTGTGTGTGTGTGTGTGTGTGTGTGTGTGTGTGTGTGTGTGTGTGTGTGTGTGTGTGTGTGTGTGTGTGTGTGTGTGTGTGTGTGTGTGTGTGTGTGTGTGTGTGTGTGTGCAAGTTATTTATTGGGAGTGTCCATATGGTATAACTGCTAACGCCCTTGGAGTCGGGCTAGGTCGCCAGGTCAATGCACATTCCAGTGAAGGAAAACACACATACACACACTTAGTCATAATACACACATTAAAAACTGGGGATATCCTCAGTTAAAGAAATTCTAAGCCTCTCAAGGAATCATGCAAAGGCAATCATTTAAATCTCGTGTTTAACAGAGATACTTTTTCCTCTCAAAAAGTAATTTAGCCTGAAAAAAAACGTACAAAATGAATAATTTACAGAATTGTCTTCTATGATCAAAATGAGCAATAATTGCCATTTCTAAATAAATCCATTATTACAATAGACAGTAACATGCTTAATTGTATGAAGAGATGGGGGGATGGATGGATAAATGGGTTTCTGAGGGTTTTTGTCCCTCTCTGGTTGCCATACAGCAACCATTAGAAGCTCCAGACCTTGTACTGGAGCTAAAAGTGTTTGGAAATGCTTTCAGGTAGAGAGAAATGCACTAACAGAAACCTTTCACCTTCGACTAGGTCACACACACACACACACACACACACACACACACACACACACACACACACACACACACACACACACACACACACACACACACACACACACACACACACACACCTTCCTCGTAAAAGGTCCATTTGCTCGTTCTGGTACACACTGGGTCAGGAGAATGTGTTTATCTTCAGTTAGAGGAGTTTTGTTTAATGTGTGTATGTGTGTGTGTGTGTGTGTGTGTGTGTGTGTGTGTGTGTGTGTGTGTGTGTGTGTGTGTGTGTGTGTGTGTGTGAGAGAGAGTGTGTGTGTCGTCTCAGCTCCGTTTGATTTGTGTGAGAGACAGTGAGCCTGGTTTTGTGTGAGTGTGTGTATCAGGGGTCAAAGGTGAGGGTCTGGAGAGGTTGTGTTTCTGCCGAGGGTCCCATTGGGGCTATCGTAGAGTGTATGAGAGAGAAAAATCTACTGCCATAGCCTTTACCTAACAACACACACACACACACACACACACACACACACACACACACACACACACACACACACACACACACACACACACACACAATCTTTTGAACGACTTCTCCTCCTCTCTCCTGTTTGATCCCTGTTTTTTATTGTTGCCTGTCCATCGAAATGGAAGAGAGGAGCAGAGAGAGATGAAAAGGAGGAAGAGCGTTTCCTCTTCCTCTGCCTCCCTTCTTCTCTCTTTCTCCCGTCGCCACGCCGGTTTGTTCCTAAGCGGGATTTGTCTTGCTTGGTTGAACAAGGCAAACCGCAGAGCTTTTGTGGAAGTGACAGGGGTGTGCCACTGTGTGTGTGTGTGTGTGTGTGCGTGTGTATGTGTGTATGTGTGTGTGTGTGTGTGTGCGCATGCACGTGCATTGATTTGTGTGCAAGGCGGATAACGCGGTCGTCTGTGTGTACAAGCGTCTGGAGACAGAGACGCAGGGTGAGGGATGGACCTCCGTCACAGTCCCCTGACTCTCAAAGACCCACACACACACACACACACACACACACACACACACACACACACACACACACACACACACACACACACACACACACACACACACACACACACACACACTGCCACCCAGGTTCACTGCCTCCGTTTCACACAGATCAGACGAGGCAGGTCACACAGAGACCAAAACAACTGGATGTACATTCCCGTCAAAAAACAATACCAGGTCACCTTAGTGCTGCCTCTGCTCTGAAGTCAATCTTAAATATCACTTTACTAACTGCAACAATGGACATTTTCTGATCAGCTGACCAACACTCAGGTGTGTGAGGGTCTTTCTCTACAGCTCAGAGTGCATCACTCAGTGGAGCTGCTCCAGTGGCCAATAATACAACTCTAGCTGGTGAAATAATGTTAACAGCAAGCACAAAAATCATCTTAAAAATATGTATTTAATAACAATATTTTTTAAGTTTTAACATTCAACCTGAATATGAGTCCCCCCTCTTTAATCCCCATTCACTGCTTATCCCACAGCCGGGTGGGCTATTTTCTCTATATCTACCCCATGCTGGTACTAACACGCACACGCACACACACACACACATACACACACACACACACACACACACACACACACACACACACACACACACACACGCGGCTCCTAACCCCTAACCCTGTCTGAGCAGAATCTATTGTGCCTGACACAGGGACCGTGTCTCTACCACGGATGACTGACCGCGTGTGTGTGTGTTTTCATCAGGTCTAGTGTCACTGCACCCAGCCGACACGACCCACCAAATAGCTCAGTATGATGCAGGACACACACACACACACACACACACACACACACACACACACACACACACACACGCACGCACACACACACACACACACGTTTGCATAGTTTGCTTGTTCTATGATTAAATTAAATATTAATAAGATGCATCTATAGTCAAATTCAAACGGTAGATAGATATTTTATTTGTCCTTAATTGAGAAATTGTTTTATTACAGCATCAGGGTGTTCAGGCATTAACACATTTAAAAGGTGGAATATAGTATAAACATAATAAAATAGAAACAAATATTTATAATAATACAAATAAATAATACATTCTAGAATCACAAATGGACATGTAAAATATTTTACATAGAGGAAAAGGATCAGATTGCAAATAGCTCACTCAAATGCATCTGGTTTCAGGCTCAACCTCCCACTGTTCCTGGCCTCACTGATATCCTCAAATTGTTATCCACAGTTTGGGGCCATAGATGTGAAAAAAGGGTTTCAATCCTACCTTTTAATTGTAGTGGGTCTGAGCCTCTTCTAACCCCCTCAGTGGGGGATCTGAGGCCCGTAAAACAAGAGTATTTCCCCCGGCTCTGAATGTGTGTATGCAACCAATTCTAACCTTTGAAAAGAGGACATACTTTCCTTAATAGCAGTCATAGATATGTAAGTCCTTTTGTTAACGTTGAATTCAAAATGTTGTTCAAAGTGAGAAAATATCCAAACCAGAACTCAAACGTTTGAAACGAGGCTCTACAGAATGTCATTGTCCCTGCTCTCTGTCTGAGGGGGTCAGCGGGGTCGAGTCACAGGATTGGAGGGTGCCGAGTGCTATGCCTGCTGGGTAGTAAAGTAGAGGGTGAGCAGGGGTGGGAGGTGGGGGTCGGGTGTTCGGGATGCAGGGGTTAACAGAGGTGAGAAGGTAATTGAGATCAGGCAATGTGAGGAGTGATGGCTTTCATTTGTGCGAGGAATCAGAGAAAACGGAATCAGCAAGTATGGTGGGAGCTGCTGCAAACAGGAAACAAAGCACAATGCATGATTAGTGACATGGTATAAAGTGTGTGTGTGTGTGTGTGTGTGTGTGTGTGTGTGTGTGTGTGTGTGTGTGTGGAGGAGGGGTGTGTTGTGTTTATGGGATGCTGCCTGGCGGAGCTGCGGGGTGTGAAGGGCTCCTCTAAAGTCCACCGCCACGGCCATAAATCTTGTATTTCCTGTTCTGTTTCCTCCGTATACACACGTGTATAAAACCATTCATTATGCCGAGACCCCGCCAAACAGTTCCCAAACTTGTGAGGCAAAGAAAAGTCATGAAGATAATGGCTAGGACTCTTTGGGGTTGAGATAAGGCGTTTTGTTTTAAATCACGGCAAATTATGCTTGTATTTACATTTTCTAGACATTTAGCCGGTGTTCAAGTGTAATGAAAAGCAGCAAAGTGGTCACTCCATGGTTTCTGTTATTTGACTGACTGGATAGCCAAACTAATGATATGTCATCTTTGTTTTTTAAAAGGAGCTGTGTGGGAAAGTGGACTTCACAATAGAGCCGTGCTTCCTGTGGTTAGCAGTAACCCGTCTATTCTCAGTCAGCTGTTTGTTTTACTTTGGTGGAGATGTATTGACAGCCGCGCTGCAAAGAATCTTTTCTTTGCTTTTCTTTGCTTTGCACTTTTCACTTCAGGTCATCTACTGTATTTGACCTCACATTTGAACCGGAGTGGGTTTTGCATCAGCGCACAGTGGTGACAGAGAGCCGGAGACAGGAACATTTCTACATGTGTTCCAGTAAGAGGCTAATTTAGGAGGAAAGTCCCTGGAGGAGCAGGGCATGGAAAAAGTGGGCTCTCTCCTTTCACCCAATATTCACATTTTTCTTCTACATTTTATTGATGGAGCAGTAGCCTTAAACAATTGCAAAAGGCTGCATTTAAATATTTAAGTCTTAAGATGTCTATATCTTCGGGAAGTACCTGGATTTTCCAGGGTTTGGTGATCACATTTATTCTGCATTACTTAGTATCCACCTGGAGCCATGTCACTTCCTTTTATATACGTTCATATTATCCTTGTTATCATTTGGATTGCATATTGGATCCTCCTCTGTTGCTCTCCCTAAACGTTGTATTCAGTTGTGTGTGTGTGGGGTTTCTTTAGGAGTTGTTGATGCAGGTGGTCTGTGGACTGAGGGTGTCATGTTGTTCAGACTGTAAAGCCCCCTGAGACACGTGTCATTTGTGATATTGGGCTATGAATAAAGTGTGATTGAGTGATTTCACAGGTTGACCACTAGAGAGCAGCAGCGTAGAAGCAACATAAATACATTTTTGTATTTATTTTGATCCAATTTTAAGTTTAGTGCTTACCTAAAAATGTGTACTATAAGACTCCTAAACATGAAGACACTACTAAACACAAACTATATACATATCACCATTGCCTTGCAAAAAAAAATGCATATATATAAAATAATAATAATAAAAATAATATATACAAATAAATATAATAATAATAATAAAAGAGATACTGATCAAAAACATATAGAATAACAATAAAAGAAAAAATCTAAAATAAGTCCTGGCATTGGTAGATATGTAATGTGTGTGTCAGTTAACTTACATTCTATAAAGGTGACACATAATATCTGTGCTAGACTTAAAAGAGCAACATTGAGATATATTGGTGAAATAAAGCTAGCGGTCTTTTAGTAAAATATCCCTAAAATAATCCCATTAAATATCAATGGAGGACAAATGGAGTGTTTCATAATCATAGCTTTCTTAGTGGCAGTTCAACTTTCTTCTTTTTTTTAATTGAATTTTGTATTTTTACCTTACAGCAATCTTTTGATATTCAAGGAAGTCAAAATCGAGGCAGGACAAGTGGCTTTTTAAGTGCTCTTTTGCAAGCTGAAATGTCTCTCTCTGAATGTGCAGCATGTTTGAGCTGGAGCACGGACATTTCAATTGGATCTGGATAGTAGGAATATGAAAGACTGTGATTTCATCAGATATAAAGAAACAATAACATCCTTTTCTCTCCCCTCCCCAGGCGGCCTATAACCTTGCCAACGTGGCCTGTAAGTGCCACGGGGTCTCGGGGTCCTGCAGTCTGAAGACCTGCTGGCTCCAGCTGGCCGACTTCAGGAGTGTGGGCGAGTTCCTGAAGGAGAAGTATGACAGCGCGGCGGCCATGCGCATTGGACGCAAGGTATACAAACATCACGCATAGCAGAGGAAGCGTCACGAACAAAACCCTGAAAGAATCATCTCACACAAGCTGTCTCTTTCCACTTCTAACAGGGCAAGCTGGAGCTGGTAGAGAAGCGCTTCAACCCCCCAGGCCCGGAGGATCTGGTCTACACGGACCCCAGTCCGGACTACTGCCTCCGCAACGAGACCACGGGGTCCCTGGGCACGCAGGGCCGCCTCTGCAACAAGACCTCGGAGGGCATGGATGGCTGCGAGCTCATGTGCTGCGGCCGAGGGTACGACCAGTTCAAGATCTACAAGCACGAGCGCTGCCACTGCAAGTTCCACTGGTGCTGCTACGTCAAGTGCAAGCGCTGCTCCACCCTCGTAGACCAGTTTGTGTGTAAATAGCACACAAGCGGATGGGGGGGGGGACTTAAGATCCATTTGTTTTACCCTGCTCCATTTATGTCCCCTGCTGTGTTCCATCCTGAGGACAGCAGCTGTGTGTCTGTGAGTAGCACCATGATGCATAGATGCAGTGGATGGGTAAAGATGGAGAGGTGGACAAAAGGAGGAAGCACAGAGGAATAGGATTTGTTCCTCGCTTTTTGAACAACTTTTTATTCGATCAACTGAGATTCCCCCTGCATGATATCCTGATCACAACCCTGAGTGAAGGAGGAAAGAAAAGAAGGACTAAATGGATGAAGGATATAAAGGACAAATGGACACCTATTACCAGTGTGATAAAAGATGAAATACATATATTAATAAATAATAAATGAATATACAACTCTGATTGTTATTTAAAGAGACTCAAACTGCAGGCACACTTTGGACCCATACAACTCACTGGTTCAGGAGTCATCAAAGTCCTCTTGGAGTTTGAAGCCATGTGAGGGCTGAGCAGTGTCCCTGTGTCTTTCTCGGAACTTTAACCCTGCAAGAGAACTTCCTGCAGACGTGAGGTGTGCTGCTGTGTGGGAAACACCCGAGATGTCCAGACTGACACGAGAGGAGGGAATAGAGGGAAAAGGTTCAAGTACAATGAGAAGGACTTTATGATGATTTGTCAACAAAACACTTAGTCCTCCAGGAGACACATGTTGGAGCAGACCTCCAGCAGCTGTGACCTGACCGTGTGTCTGCGCAGGTAATGAGGCTCGCTGGTTGCAGCCATCTTGGCTCCACGAACATTTAAACAACGGCGTCCTTCATCTGACAGTGAAGAGAGCGAGGCCTCCATCAGTGAGATGATGCTCTCTCTGCCTTAATGCACCGCACTGAGAGACACTGCCAGTGGACCTGTTCATCTCACGTTGTTATGCAACTTGTCAACAAAAAGCCCTGTGGGGTCGACTCTAACATTTTATAATTCTGTATTACCATGAATTTTGCAAGAATATTTTAAGTGTATAATCTAATCCAATCAATAGCAACCATGAAGATGACAGAGTGGACTGAACATGCTGTGGGAAATGAATGTGTGAACGTGGAAAAACAGAAAGACTGCAATTTATTACTGCTTTTAAACAAGTAGTAGATCAGAGAAGAAGGTATATTTTATTATTGTGTTTCATTTTCTGTTTTCTATGTTTTATACCTGAGTATTATTGTGTATTCTTTTGATAAACTAGTCTTCAAAAACAAAGCTTTGTGCGGTTCTTGAGTCTGCTGCAGTTCTTTTGGAAAAGTCTGATCCCCGCCGGCGTGTTTTACAAACAGACACGTCTTTGTCATTTCCAGGGTGTTTGGGGAAATGATGCTGCAGTTGCTAAAAGGAGTACAGTCGTCCAACTATGCCAACATTATAAATGTCACATTAAAATAATTGGACTAAGTAATTCTAGTCTGAAGCACTGGCTTAATGTCTCTTATGGTGGTTTGTATAGTAATATGCATTATTTTGTACTACAATATGATGAGATGACAATTGTGCAGAACTGGCTTTTACAAACAACTCTTAACTGATTTTGATGAATGGCCTCATAGTTGTATTGCATCACAGCATGACGTACAATGTAGCAACGAAAAGCACGGCCACATCCTAAATCTGCAGTGATGAAATGTGTAGCGCACAGTCGTCATGGTTACACAGGTGTGTACTGAGACCAACAATCCCATGACTTGTAGCTGCTTATAATTGGATTAGACAACTGAGCCGAGCGGCATGAGGACCTGTGGTGCTGTCTCTGTCTGTGTGATTGTTGTTGTTGTCTTTGTGTGGAGGGACAGTGCATCCTGGTGGTGATGCTGCTGATTTCATTGTGCTCTAAAACAAAGGTAATGTTATCTTTCTTTCACAGCGCCATTTCTTGCTCTTTTCGAGAATGTTCCCATGTTTTTCTTATCATTATGATTGAGTTGTTATGTCTGTTCCTGTGCAGATGGAGGACTGAGGATGTTGGCGCTGATTTCACCATCACTCTGTCTGCAGCTTTGGTGCCTTAAGTCCATCTTGTACATTTGGCATCATTCTCAGGAACAAACAAAAAAACATAATTTTTTTAAGGGGACAACATCCACTTCTCAGTTCTTACATTTAGCCCTAAGGAAGCGACGCAATAATACACATACATTTCCATTTCCCCCTCCATCACCTTGAAGTTTGACTTGTCTCTTCAGGTGTTTGATGAAATGAGTTGTCCTGCAGCTTAGACTTTATTATAAATATTCTCTCATCTTTCTTTTTACAGCGTTAACTCTCAGCTAAGCAGCCGAGTGGGACGAGAAATGTCCCACTCGGCTCGATGCCGCAGGTCTGATTTAAGGCCAAAAGTGTGTGTGCATCTGTGCGCTAACCAGCCTGAGACCCCAGTAGAGCTTCAGGAAGAGTCCTGATCCGACCCCTGGTCTTACCTGCAGGACTGCTGTGTGTTCTGCCAGCTGCTTTATAATGATCCAAAGCTGCTTGGTGGCATGAATTGGCCATTTTGCAGTTGGTCTAAATGACTGCGAGACGACATCTTTTCTGATTTCCGTGCAGTTTTTTGGCATTGAACAATGAGCAGTAATTCCTCCACAGCCTGCTCTCCCATATGTTAGCAGGAGAGGAGCAGCTCCCTCTGGGTCCAGCAGGGGGAAACAACAACATCTAAAACAGACTGGATGTTGCCCCAGAAGAACCCTTGAGTGCAAATAGGATGTCATTGGGGTCAAGCATCTCCCTTTTTTTCCTTCTCCTTTTCTGTCTTCTTGGAAACACACAGGGAGCTCAAAGAGCCAGTCTATCCCTGATGCTCAGCCACTGATGTGTAAGGTCATTCATCCATATATATATATATATGGATGAATCACATATGCATCTTGTATATATATACAAGCTGCGGCTGGAGCAGAATGGACTGCTCAGTTCCAGTAAACCAGAATAATTCTTCTCAATTCTGTCATTCTTGGGATGATGCTGTAGATTCAGTAAATGCACTGAGAGTTCAAAGTTGAAGACTCACATCACTTTATTCACGCTGATAAATAGATTTTGCACTTTATTAACCCTCTCTCTGGAGAGATCAAAGAGGATGCAAATAGTTGCTATTTATGCCATAATCCTGTTTTCAACATGTTTAGAGTGTTAATGGCTTTAGTTGTATCTCTTGAAAAATATACAGTTTGTGATTAAACCAAGTATAATCCGGGGTTATTCCGTTGCAAAAACACTTGCTCATGCAAACAACAAAATGAAAATGTTAAACCCTCCTGTTATCCTTGGGATCAATTTGACCCCATTCAATGTTTAACGTATCTAAACAAATGGTTCACATTATTTGTTTTGCTTCGTTTTTCATGACTTTTCCTAATTTAGTGAGGACTAATGGGTAAACGTAAAATGAACATGAAGATCTTTTTGAAATGCCCTGTACGCACTTTGTACGCACCGGTGTTCCTTGGGGTCCTTGACCCCAGGCTGTTTTAGTAGTGTAAAACATATACAAATGTCAATATTTGACACATATTTGTGTTGATTGTGCAGGATGATATTGAGGTGACTATTACACGCAAATGTATCATTGTAAAAAAAACGACCCTCTGCTTTAGTTATTGGTCCTTTAACAACATCAAAAAGATCTTACTCTAACATTTTATTTCAGTCAGTGAGATTTTATGGTGATTTATATATTTTTCGATAGTCACATAATAGGAATTCTGGATGTATAAAGGGGTCTGTAGGGGGGAAGGTTGGGGTAATGTTTTATTCAAAAGGTTATTTAGGTAGTCAACTAAGATACCTAAAGCACCAGAGACAATTTGGAATATGATCATTGTCTTGGGTTTTAAACTACTGGGGTCAAATTGACCCCAGAGGACACAGGGTGTAAAGTCAATCTGAGGATAACAGGAGGGTTAACCATCATCTTCATCTGCGAACAAAATCCATTAATAGCCTCACATCAAACCACTTTAGGGAATTCAGAGCAGCGACTAGAAAAGGTTATTAAAAATGAACAGTGACACCAAATATGCAAAGAGTCACTCCAGGCTTCATGAAAAGTTTGGCATCATTTCTGAATCATTACATGCCGCAGGTGAAGACATGCAAAGTCAACACTGAGCACCAATGAATGAAAATATATTCTTGTTTTTAAGCAATAAACTATTTCCTGGACCGTATTATTAATATGAACTCAGAATTATTTTCTTGTCAAACATTTCCATGACCTGTGAAAGAGAGAACGAGGAGTGGTAGAACCTGTTCCCTTCTCTTCTGTCACGCCCTGTTTGAGTGGTGTGTTTGTGTGGTTGCGTGTGTGTATTAAATCAGGGTGTTGGTGGCCATATGTGGGATCTTTGTATTACATTGGGACTTGTTTTGCCTGATGTCAGGTGTGGTCTACCTGCTGTGATTTGTGGAGGCCATTATCCTAGCAACACACAACACCAACACACACCCTTGACAACTAATGGAAGGTATATTGGAAAGAATGATGTTAGAGCAAGAGGAGTGATGTGTTACCATATTTATCTATGGTTATTCTTAATTTTTCATTGTTTATATTTAAATGTTTTTTCCTCTGTGTGTTTGAACTACACCTCCGATGTTGTAGATAGAAAGCATCACACATATTTTACACACTATGTTTGTAGACACATTGAACTGTGCATGGTTAGCATTTCTTTAACTGAGTTTAAAATTATCCATAAAGCAGCCGATTGTGCTTTGAAGCTCCAGTTGGTACAGAAGCTAATATCTAGATGACCACAATCCCCCAGGAAGATGTCTATACATATACTCCCATATACGCACAGATAGAGCAACAAATAAACATTAAAATGCTGGGTGAGCAATGTGTATATGGTGCAATCAGAAATCCAGGTTATGCAAACACGCTGCAATACGCTGACATTCGCAATGCCAATGCATGTTGAATATTCACTGTGGAGCTGAAGGTCTTTGGTGTGAGCAGAGACTCCAGGTGTTGAGAAGCATACCAGATCATGTGCTGGCTGTAATACAAAATAATATGATTCAGAATCTGCAATCAATGTCACTCTCAAACTCTACACTTATTTAAATCTTAAGATGAAACAGAATATTAACTTGGATGCTGCAATTAGATGACATATTTAAACTTCCAATCAGACTGAGAAATAAAAATGACCATGAAGCTGGCAAACAGGTTGTCATTCAGTATCATCTGCTGCTACCAGGAGAAATAAGGATAACTGAGACAAATTCCTAAAAAAAAGAGCATTTTAAAGCTATCCACTTCGTATGCTGTGACTTCAGGGAAGATCTTTTTAACCAAACCGTCTAAGACACAATGTGCCTTGTCACAGAACTCTAGAAACACAGAACTTTTATATATTTAAATATGAACCTTTAGGGTGGACTTTTTAAACAGACTCTATGCCGGCCAGCCAGTTCAACCGATAAGCTGAAAAAACACTGGCTTAGTCAATAAAACTGTGCATGTATCAAATCATTTTTAACACATTATAAGTGAATGAGAAGCTGTCATGAATAAAAAATACTGTACAGCTTGGTACACTTTGACAATGTGTAGAAATAGTAGGGCAGTCACATGCAGTTCTTGTATCTTGTTATTATACAACTTTATTTAAACTCATTTGTTATCTTGTTTTTGATATCTCAGAGAACAGTTAAACCCTTACACTGTCCTTGTAGATCAAATGAAATACAAATGTGCACTCATCATTTACGAGTTTTCTATGAGGTAAGCTACGATAAGATAAACCTATTTCCCCAGGAACACACACAACAATAATCGGGTCAAAGTACTGACATAACGTCACACACTGTCTCAGCAGAGATACCACTATCTGCTTCAGCACACCAATGGCAGCTGGGTTTTCACATTTTTTAGAGGCCACCTCTTCCAAAAGGTATTTCTGAGGCCTCCTCTGCCCTGGAAACGAAAGAAACATACTCTATGTCAGGGGTATTCAACTAAAATTCAACGAGGTCCAGTTAGTGAAAATGTCCCCATGCAAAGGTCCGGAACATCAACATTTCTAACTTGCTTCATGAATTAGTGTGATATGTATTGAAGTGACCTGTGTCTTTATCAACGTCTGCATGTCATCAACAACTGACTGCCAATCAAATAAAGAAAGTACAATTCAAAAACAACAATATTTATTGTCAATGAACATTGAACTACACAGATATACAGTAAATACTGTGGATATGTGTAATGTTCCTCTCGGGCTGCATTTAAAAATAAAATAGAGAAACTAAATAAAATAGCTTTTGAAAATATGTGCATCTTAAAAGTGCTTAATTTTAAATATATACAATAAAGTGTAGCAGCAGCTTGAGTTTCCCTTTTTCTTTGTTAACCGTTTCACATCATGACTTAACTGTTTCAGACGATTATAGAACAATATCAGTCTTTACACATCATAACAATTGAACAGTTTTAAAGTTTCTCTTTCTTTCCCTCTTATATTGCAGTCCCTCACTCACTTTTTTTTAATTCAGTGTGAGAATTGAGCTGGAGCTTGTCCTGCCAGGAGTTTGTAAATCTGGGCCGACATGGAGTCAGGGCCATTCTCATACACATGCAGGTGCTCATTGGTTACAGTGATGCAAACACAGGTATGGGGAAAAAAGAGAGAACTATTCGAAGCAGGAAAAAAACAGCGTAATATACCATCTGACAAAGGCCTGTGCTTCAATGCTTCAATTAACTGCTATTCTTTATAATATACTCAGATCAATAGGAGACAGAGATGTTAAGTTAAAAATCAAGGGTTTTTATTATTATTTACAGCAGGGGTGGGGAACCTTTTTCCTTTCAATTTTTACAACATCCTCCGAGGGTCGTACAAATTATTGAATTCAACCTCTGCTTAAAAAAACTAAAATCACAGCCCACTCATTTCACCTTTCTTTCATGCTGTGCAAAGAAAAGGCAACCTCTGAATCCAGATATCTCACCATGACTCACGCATGCATGCATGTGCACGGTGTGGCATGACCACCAAAACAGAAAGATATGGACACAAGATGTGTGCAAATGTATTTAGTATCCTATCCATGTGAACATGATTTAAGTGGGTGGGGGGGGACCTAACCTCCTCTAGGGGGGTCCGGGGGCATGTTCCCCCGGGAAGATTTATTTTTTAAATATTGAAGTTGAAAGCATCAGTCTGGTGCACTTTGAGAGCAACATTAGGAGATCTATGGATACATCTCTCAACACCCATGTAGCTGCCCTCGGCAATAATCACAGCAGAGTCTCGACGGATGCAGTTTCTTTAATGGTCTTTCAATCATCGTGAAAACTAAAATATATACAGACATAGAACAAGTACAAGTCATTGATTAAATCACAAATATATATTCACGGATCAAACAAACACTTGTAATACAGTCCCTGTAACGTACCTCGCTCCGCTCACCGAGGGTGCAATATGTGCGACGTCAGGCCTGGCAGTCCTTATCTTAATATATCACTTGGCACTATGAACAGTTGAGCCAAGGAACAACACACACAGTTTCAATGAAAACCAATATAAACCGATTATATAACACAATATTCGTGGCAATTCAGTAACTTACGTGTATGTTTGAGAGGTCCGTAGCACAGGCTAGACCTCGTTGTCTGGCAATAGTTTAAATCAGTTATGATTCCGGGGTTCGCAGCGTCACACCCATACCTACGCCCGCCCCTAACCATGCATATTAAATAACGTAGCGGTCAGTTACACTCCCACCATATCCTGTCCTGATGAACAAACTTAACGAGGTAAACAAACTGGGTGAATCATACAGGATTTCTAGACCGTCAAAAAACAAAACACACTTAAAGGTATGGTGGTTCACACACAAATAAGCTTTGTCGCCTTAGCAAACATGTTTACTAGTATGTCTGATGCAAGTGTATTTTAGCCAATTATTCACCTTCAATGAGTAAAACTAGCTTCTGAATAGGACGTTCTATGATCGAGGGTTTGGAGGTGTAATCTTGTTTCTTTGTTGATTTGCGATCTCCAACTTGCACCTTGACTCAACGAACCAAACCATCGGTCCCTTCAGTTGTCTCGACCACTCGTCCTAGCTGCCACTGATTCCTTGGAAGCATGTCTTCCTTGATAATGACTATGTCGTTAACCTTCAGGTTGCGCTGGGGTATGTGCCACTTTTGTCTTAAGGAAACGTTCTGGAGGTATTCTTTCTTCCACCGACTCCAGAACTGTTCGGTCAGGTATTGCACTCGTCGCCACCTTTTGGCCGAGTACGTGTCTTCCTTCTGCCTAATGTTGTCACTAAGGAGTTGCATGAAGCGAACATCATCTTGGGACACATACTTGTCTTCGTAGCATTTTTCATTGAAGTCTGATTCCAAGACTTTCAGCACGTCGGTGGCTGATGGTGTTGGCATCTCTTTCACTGTGACTCGATGTACGAAGCTTTGGTGTCCCTGTCTATCCAAATGGGGATTGGCTGAGCCAATGATGCTCCATCCAAGCACGGTTCTTTGTGCGAAAGGTTTGTTTTCGCCTCCTGTGACAACTTCCAAGGGAGCCAACGCTGATGGGCAGTCATAACCAATTAGCAATCCTACCTCGCAGTCTTGAAGTGGTGGTAGCTTGTTTGCTAAGTGTTTGAGATGAGGCCATTGGAGTGCTGTTCTTTTAGTGGGGATATGAGACCTTTCAACTGGTATGAAGTCTCGTGTGTAGGTCTGCTGTAGTTTGACATAGGCTTCAGAGTTGAGTCCCCGAACTTGAAGACCACTGGCAGTCTTACTTGCAATGACTGTGTTAGCCGCTGTCATTGTACTGAGTTTCAGCTGCACTGATTGAGTGTCCACGTCTAGTTCAGTAACTAAATCTTCCAAAATGAAGGTTGAATCACTTTGTGTGTCCAGTAGGGCATAAGTGAGAATTTCTCTATCTGGATCCATTGTTGACGACACCAGAACTGGAACAATGCTAGAGGTGGCAGAAGTATGCTTTGTCACTGCATGGGACATAACTTTGTGGATCTCCTTACTAGTATGTTCTCCTGTGGCAGCAGAATATTTGCCTGATGTCTCTGCAGGTCTTTTGTCTGTTTCTATATGTAAGCAGGTTGGGTGACGTCGACTGCATGTGCTGCAGGTGTGTCGCCTTTTGCAGTTTTTGGAAATGTGCCCCTTTCCTAGGCACCCGAAGCAAAGGTTATTTTCGTGAATCAAAGTTTTCTTCTCGTCTGTAGTCTTTGCTGTAAAGGTTGGGCACCTTGCAATACCATGTGTTTCATCCTTACAAACTAAACAAGGTGGCCATGGTTTTGAGTTTGAAGTTACAAATGTCTCTGAGTTGGGTTCATTCATTTCAGTACTGGTGTTGAGTGCTTTCGTTCTCCTGAGAAACCTCTCATCTGTGGTCTTGGTGTTTTTCATCAGGAGGGGGAATACAAAGGGATTACAAGCTATTCTAGCTTCCTTTTGTGTAAACTCTGTAAAACGTGCAAAACTTGGATAGTCTCCAAATGTATCTAACTCTTCAACAACAATCCGACTCCACCTGTGAACCATCCACTCAGGCAGTTTTTGGAGAAGCTTGTGATTTTCCTCGCAATCGTTTAGGATGGACAGGCCCTTTACATGGGGAATAGCTTCAACACAACCTTGAAGGAAATCTGCAAACTCTCTGAGTGCTATGGGGTCGTTTAAATCTATCTTGGGCCACTTCATGAGCTTGTCTCTGAAAGCCTTTTGGACAATAAAGGGGTTTCCATATCTATCTCGCAAGACTGCCCAGGCACTGTGATATGCATCTTCTGAGTTTCTGTAGAAAAATCCTTCTACAGCCTTGCGCGCCTCCCCTGCGAGGTAACTCTTTAGATAGAGCATCTTTTCACCAACTGGGAGGGGCTTATTTCCAATGAGGGCCATGAAGGACATCTTCCAGTCTATGAACTTCAAAGGATCGCCAGTAAACGTTGTTGGTTCTGGGACAGGTAGACGATTCAGCGTAAAAGAGCTTGCAATTGCCTGGGTTAGGCTGACTTCTTCCTGAGACGTTGGCGCTTCAGGCGGTGCAGGATGAAGCCGGAATGGCTTTGCTTGTGGATTTAGTGGGGGGGGGGGTTTGTGGTCGGTATTTCGGCCACCATGTTGAGATGTGTGGTCGACCTCTTCTTCACAACTTTCAAACCCATCAAAATGTCTGTACGCTCTCACTCGAGCTGCTGCTACTTTTACTTCATTATCTACATGTAGCTGTTGTAACCTTGTTTTTTCCTCTTCTAGCTTTAACTTCATTTCAGCCTCCTTCTGTTTGATTTCTGCCAGCATTTGTGTTTCCTTGAGTTTCCATTCACTCTCCAGTTTATCGAGTCTTGCTTGTTGGCCATGTAAACTTCGTGTAGCTTTTGCCTGTTCTTGTTTGGCTGCAAGGTCTGCTTCTGCATCTGCACGTTTACTAGAGGAGCTGGAGGTGTTACTTGGTTCTCGTGATGACTCTGAGATTACAGTTTCTGTGTTCGTGTTTCCAAAGACAGAGCCATACTCATTCTTATTTAGCGCCGCCCTCACTCTCTCCTTCTCAAGTTGGTCGTTGAAAACCTCATCTATATTCTCTTGCCTTTTACTGAGTAATTCACGAATCTCAGCTGTAAGAGTGACACATGCATCCATTTTCTTGGCAATATCTGGAGTAGTGGTATGGTTGCGTCGAATGGGCTCATAATGTTGCTGTACTATGACATATTTGGATTCTGTGTCCTCTGTGCATCTATTTAGGTCTTCAGCTGAGCAGAAATCTTTCAGTCTTAGTCTAACCTCTCTTGCTGTCTGCTTCCAAGAGTCGTAGGCTTTATTGAATGCCTTTTCGTTTTTCTTAGCTTCATTTTCTTGCAACTCTAGGGCTTTTTGTGTTAGACTTCGTTCACGAGAGCTGGACCTGACTTGTGTCTCTGGGGGTTTGTCTGTTTCTTTAGCAGGTAGTGACATTTTGTTGCCCTTTTTCCTCTGTTTGTGCTTTAACTATAGTCTTACAGTGTTTTATGTCTAAACTCAATTTAAGTGAATGGTGACTTTAACTTTACCTTTAACTATATACCACTCACATCAGACATTTACACTTGGACACGCTAAGATGAGCAAAACATGAATGATACAAAATGTCACAAACAATAGTACTGCTAATGCTCTACAGTCAGACAATTTTTACCCTTTAAACATTAATACACGTTCGGGAATTAAGTTCTCATGAAATGACATAGATGGTTAAGGGCCCTCTTTAACTATATAGCTCTCTGCTTTACGACTGTATTTATGCACGATATGATATGGCTGTTCTTGAGCTCGTTAATTGTGCATACAATGAATTAGCTTAGCAGACAGCTTTAAATCGATTTACCACCTTAACATTGACTATTTTCTTATATTTATTATTGGCTTTAACTTTTAGTCAGCCAAGTCTCCTACTGCAGCATTGGCCTCCGTACGTTGACGTGCAGGACGTCAGATGATCTCGTATCCGCTGGCTGAGCCGGCACGACGTGGTGAATGGCTCGTGCAGTCGAGTTTTCACTGTAGCTGCCCTCGGCAATAATCACAGCAGAGTCTCGACGGATGCAGTTTCTTTTAATGGTCTTTCAATCATCGTGAAAACTAAAATATATACAGACATAGAACAAGTACAAGTCATTGATTAAATCACAAATATATATTCACGGATCAAACAAACACTTGTAATACAGTCCCTGTAACGTACCTCGCTCCGCTCACCGAGGGTGCAATATGTGCGACGTCAGGCCTGGCAGTCCTTATCTTAATATATCACTTGGCACTATGAACAGTTGAGCCAAGGAACAACACACACCGTTTCAATTAAAACCTATAGAAACCGATTATATAACACAATATTCGTGGCAATTCAGTAACTTACGTGTATGTTTGAGAGGTCCGTAGCACAGGCTAGACCTCGTTGCCTGGCAATAGTTTAAATCAGTTATGATTCCGGGGTTCGCAGCGTCACACCCATACCTACGCCCGCCCCTAACCATGCATATTAAATAACGTAGCGGTCAGTTACAACCCATATGAAACAGAACTGTAAGCAGATTTTTCTTTTGGGATATTTTACAAATCACTGCCCTTTTAAACTCTATTCTTGTTATTTTTAACAACTTTTTTGTTACTGTCATAGTATTTTATACCTATTTTTTATTTAGTCTCATTAATAACTATAATGATATCAAGGTGTGCCTTAACCTCACTGAGCTGAGGTTATTTGAGCCTCTCAGGAGAGAGCTCTCTTCCACCTGGTTGTAGAAAAGCTCTTTAAATTCGTTAGCATAGCTAGCTAACCAGATGCTAATAACAACAGATCGCCACTGTGCTTACAACCAGTGCTGGAATTGGGCCGGTACTCACCGGTACGCAGTACCGGCACTTCTGGTTCTGACCCATGGAGTACCGGCACTTCTTGCTTAGTACCGGCATGCTGGCGGTACTCCGGTACTCATGCACCGTGCCAGTACTCAACACTCTCCCGCCGTTCTTATTATACATCCATATATATATATACAGCCGCCCGGTACTCAGTAGATGCGTCATGAGGTGCCGAACGGACATTCTCATCGCTCTAACCGCTAGAGTTTCACAGCGGCTGTCAGCTGTTTACTCCTGTCATTCAAACAGAACGTGCTGGAGAGGGGGCGGGGCTTATCTTCTCTATGTAAATACTGTGGTGGAAACGACTATGTCAAAATTAACCTATTTGACCTTGATTTAATAGTAATACACGTTTCAAAATAATAATAATAATAATGCCGAAGTAACAACATACTGAAAACTGTTAGTAAAACCATGTTTTAATGCTTTACCATTTACATACCTAGATGCACGTGTGTTGTGTTTATGCAGTGCAACTCCCACCCAGTGGGTGGCTATGTAGAGTGATAGAACAGAGCAGGCACGCCCCCGAGAGAAGGAAAGCAAGTCACGTCACAAATTAGCATTTCTAAAATGTTAGCGTGGATTAATAAAAGTGCAAAAAGACAGCGGTTGTCGCCGGAAGAAACTTCAAATACAGAGAATGCTGTGCCTGTGTTGGAAATTGTGTCTGATGGGGAGCTTTCTTTGGTTGATCCTCCTGCTCCAAGTTCTAGTGCATTAGCATTAGCACTAGCTCCGCCGCCTCCTCCAGAGCCTCTAACGTTAGCTGCTGCTGGCGCAACTGCCACCACCAACACCGGGCAAAGCGATGCACCTGACTGCTGGACAACGGACCAGGTGCAATATTTTTGCAAGACCAATGCATGGCTCCTTCTTAAAGATAAGAAGCTAGGATGTCGGATATGCAGAGATGTCAAATCTTTGGGAATACACACTGGACAAGGACTGAAACTGTCAACTGAATGGGGTGAGTGTGCAGTGTCTCATTTCGGTGTTGACAAGGGCAAACAACAAGCTAGCCTGAGAAAAAAAATCAAAGAACATAAAGAATCACAAGCCCATGTAAAAGCTGCTGACATCCTTACATCTGCTTCACGTGAAACTATTCAACATCAAGTGCAGTCTATACATAAATCTGAATTAGACACCACTATCAGAGTTTTTCGAACGGCATATAAAATTGGCAAACATAGCCGGCCATTCACAGACATGCCAATTGATTTGAATGTACAGAAACTGAATGGGCTGAACGTGGGCAGGGTTTTGCACTCCAATAAAACCTGTGGCGAAATCATCTACCACATAGCTCATGAGCTGAAGAAAAAAATGGCAAAAGACATTACAGAAAACCAAAGAAAACTCTGTGTTTTGGTCGATGAATCTACCACTATTAGTGGTAAAACGGTGCTTGTTGTGTGTCTACACTCAGCATTAGCTGATGCTGAGCCCGAAACGTTTTTTTGGGAGCTGATCGAGTTGGATGGAACAACGGCTGATGACATCACAAAGGCGTTAATGGAGTGTCTTGGAAGAGATTTTAACGAGGACTTTTTAGGTCAGTGTTTCGTTTCTTTTGCATGTGATGGGGCTTCAGTCATGCTAGGGAAGAGAACAGGCGTTGCTACCCAGTTGTGTAGTAAATTCCCAAGCCTGTTTGTGTGGCACTGCTCCAATCATCGTCTAGAGCTGGCAGTTGGGGATGTGGTCAAGGAGGTCTCAGGGCTCAATCATTTCCAGATCTTTTTTGACAAACTCTATTCCTTGTTCCATGCCTCCCCCAAAAATCAGAGGCAGTTAGCGCAGTGTGCGCAAGCAGTCGGACAGCGTCTCCTGGTGATAGGGCGTGTTTTGTCCATCCGCTGGGTGGCTTCAAGTGAAAGGAGCGTCAGAGCAGTCTGGGAAAACTACAGAGTGCTTCATGATCACTTCACAAATGCTGCAAACGACACAAGCAGGGATTCCAGAGACAGAGCAAAGTACAAGGGCCTGGATGATGTGCTCACATCTGCAACGTTTGTCAGCAATCTGGGACTGATGTACGATGCGCTCACAGAGCTCAGCGACCTCTCTCGGCAACTCCAAAAAAGAGAGATGACACTGCCTACAGCAGATAGGCTCTTAACTCGAGAAATACGAGTTTTTGAATCCATGGTCACCATGCCTGGCCCACACATGACTACAGTTCATACAGCTCTAGCTGAGAAGTCCTTCAAGGGTGTTGCCCTGCGTGAGAATGGCAGACTTGTACAGATTCATGCAGGTCAGTTTTTCCGCAGTATGGTAGAGAATCTGAGACACAGAATGACTTCCACAACCTCCTCTCATGTCAGCACAAGAGAAATCCCAATACATGGCCGGGAGGCCCGGGACAATCAGCTAATCCAGGACATGAAAGTTATCCATCCTGGAAGTTGGCCTGAAGAGGAGTTAGACGTACAGTATGGGGACGTAGAGGTGCTACGTTTGTGCGAAGTGCTGAAAGTGGACAGAAGAGAGACTGTTCAGGGCTTTCGCAAATACAAGGAAACCAGGGCATCCCGTACACCTGCTGCCATGGAGCCTCTACTGAAAGCAGTCCGAACCATCGCTGTCTCCACTAGTGAGTGTGAGCGGGCATTCAGCTGCATGAACGATATCCTTACTGCAAAAAGGAATGCTCTCTCTGTCAGCCGACTGTCCAGCCTGGTTTTCATTAAATGTAATGGACCATCACTAGGACAGTTCAATCCGGAACAGTATGTGAGGTCCTGGCTGGCAAAGGGAAGGAGAAGTGCTGATGAAAGAGCCTGTCCAGCTCCAGCCCCTGATACTGATGTCCCCAAGGCCTTCTGGAGCCTTTTCTAACAATGTGAAGTATATTGCAAAGCAGCTCACCCAGTGAGAAGACTTTTGGCATAATGTGCCGATTTGTACAGATCCTGGAGATAGAAGGACTTCAGACCAACCAGGGAGTTATCTGATCAGCTTGGTGTTCAATGTAACTCTTTACCATGGCTCAGACTTTGTTACTTGCAGTTACAGTTTCTCATTTTAGATTGTGCAAATTTTGCATTTGTTTTTACATGTTCTTTGTTCATGCTCTTTATCATTTTTCTGAGTTGGAAAGTTAGATTGCATCATAGTTTACTTTATACATATTTGTATTCTTCAGTGGTGAAGTATATTGCAAAGCAGCTCAGCCATGTGAGAAGACTTTTGGCACTGTTTCGTTTTTCGTTTTCTGAGTTGGAAAGTTAGATTGCATTCAAAATGTACAGAAATACTTAATTTTGTTAAAGCTTTTTATAAAAAATGCTTCTGACCAGAGCTTTGTTTCCTTGTCATTAATGTTGAACACCACCAGAGGGGCTCTCACCTGAAAGGTCTCTGCTTCATGTGTCTTCAGCAGAAGATCTAGACTTTGATTGCTATATTTTCAGTTAATATTGACCTTACTGAGCTTTAGCCATATCCGCTGCCTATCATAAAAAATGTTAAGTACAGTGAACCTTTCTAAAATATACAGTAGTAAAGAGACAAACCCACCAGCATTATAGTAGCCAAATTCTTGTTTGTGGGCTGTATATATAAAATTGACTTGAAAAAGTTGCTGATTTTAGAGTACTGGCACCTTTTTCATTCCAATTCAAGCACTGCTTACAACTAAAGACACAGCCACGCAAACACTGCGGCATGTGTACGGCTCCTTATGGGTACTGCAATATTTGAAGAGCTGGAGCGGCGTTCCGGTGCTCTCTGTCAGCACTCCTTTCAGACGAGACATATACCACGTGAAGACATGTTACGCTCATGTTGTGTTCAAGGAACCTGTCCTTGGCCAGGAAAAACAGGTACTCGCTTGTTTAATTATGTTTGCGGTCTAGATTTCTTCTTTTTTGAAGTGAGAAGTCGTCCGTCAGTCGTACTGACGGACGGACGGACTCCCTCCCCCCACCCCCAAAACGAAAACTCTTCGGTTCTCCTCGAATTACACAAGTCACCCAAATCAGCGTTAAAAAAGCGGGAGGCGCCGAAAAATCCCCTATTAATGTATTGATTATAGCTCCGGGTCCGTATAGGTCGGCATCTGGGTCCGGATCCGAACCGCGGTCCGCCTGTTGCCGACCCCTGCTCTATGTGTTGAACAAGTTATTGAGCGTGTTTAGTGTTTAAACCTGATAAACCAGACCAATGAAACTGCTGAACTGTGCTGAGTTCACCCAGCTGCCACAGCCCTGCCATCACAATAAATCAATTTACACAATCATGCAATCAGAGTTAACTAGTGTGTGTGTGTGTGTGTGTGTGTGTGTGTGTGTGTGTGTGTGTGTGTGTGTGTGTGTGTGTGTGTGTGTGTGTGTGTGTGTGTGTGTGTGTGTGTGTGTGTGTGTGTGTTCTGGCATGGTTCACCCATGGATATGTACAGCCGAGGCCCAGGGAGCAGAAAGGGCAGAGAGCAGGTGATCTGATAGTGGTGTGTGACTCTCAGTATTAAGCCATTTTATCCCACTGCACCTCCCATATGGTGGTGGAGTGGACCTAGAGCACCACCTGCACATGTTTTATTCATCCTG